ACACAGACTAATGAAATACTATCTGTAAAATTATCTATGTAAGCAAACCTCGTGGGGGGGGCTGTGTTCATGTTGCTGCAGTCTGCAGTCTGACCGCTAGATGTCGCTAAAGGTTACACACTGTAGCTTTAACAGGTGCCAACTTTGCACCAAATTGAAAACATGCAACAACCTAGGCTTTAATAATTCAAAAAAGTAAAAAAAAAAAAAAAAAAAAAATTCACTGGACTTTTTTCCAAGCTTGAAAACATTTTGCTTCCCACCCAGGAAGGCTTTAGTCCAGTCCTTTGCTTTTTAAACTTTTTTGGAATGACTAAGTCCTGGATGACTCAGAATCTTCACCAGTTAGGCTTTGGTGGAATAGCAAATGTATTCTGTGAATTGCATCCATATTACGGGTACTAAATCTATTACATTTGTTAAATTCTGTAAGATCTTTATCGTGAAAGGTTGAAGAAAAACTGAATTGGTAATTTGCTCTATGTGTTTCTTGTTTGTAGGCCTAATAAAGCCCACCATCACCATAAACCCTCAAAGTGACATCACCCTGGGTCAGAATATCAGCATCGCTTGTTTGGTCCCTAACGGACAAGTTGGAGGAACATTCATCTTTAAATGGACCTCAGATGAATCTAGTCTGACTGTTGAGTCAAACAGCAGCTCTGCTACTTTTTATATCCCTCAAATTGGTTTTGAGCATGAGGGATCATATCAATGTCAGTTTCGAATAAGGGTTTCTGATGAAGACTTCATCACAGATTTTAGTAATTCTGTTCAGCTAAATTTAAATGGTAGTGTATCTTTTCACTTTAACTAATTTCTGACATGCACAATGGATGACTTATGTATGGAATGTTAAGTCAATATTTTGTTTGTTTTCTTTGTAGCAATTCTTCCAAAACCCAGCATTACCATTGAACCTGCAGGTGTGATTACGTTTGGTGAACTTGTCACTATCACTTGCTCAATCTCAACTCAGTTGTTGAATGGATCATTCACTCTGCAGAGAAGGCCAAACAACGGTAATTTTTACAATATGAAGAGTCAGTCGTCAAGCACCAATTCTTCCATATTCAGATTTCTTGAAGTCACCTCTGATCATGAGGGATATTACAACTGTTATTATACAAAAGCAGTAATAATTCGAACTCTAACATCACCTGTAAGTGATACTCTTCCACTTTCTATCACTGATACCTAAGGTCATGTACATAAACATGGGTTTGTGAATTTTTACTTATTTTGCTTATTCTTTAAAGTTAATCCCTTTCTTTAATCCATCTTCATTTCCTCTCCTGTGAAATACCAATGTCACATCATCACACTTTTTTGCAGCCCTGAAAGAAAGGGATTTTTATAATCATACACATCACAGCCGCTCGTATATATATATGTGGGGAATTAATCTCAAAAGGATCATGTTTGGATGATCCTGTATGTTTTAAGCAGTTCTTTAATATATGTTTTCTATATATGTAACAACTCTGTGGGGTCTTTAAGGCTGGTAAAAAATATCTTAATAAATGAAATCTGTTGTGTGAGTAACTTGATGTGAATGGAAAAAAACACTGATACAGTGAAAACACCTATGTCAGGATGAAGAATGTAGATTTGAAATTCTTTTCATTTTCCTTTTAGATAAAAACAAATTTTTTGTTTTCCTTTTTTCTCTTTGCAAGCTCTCTTTTTTTCCCTCTTTAGGGTCTCTCCTTCAGTTTTTCCAGCAAAGGTTACTACTATGACCTCTGTTTTTGTTTTATTCTCAGAATTCTACACAACGAAACAAACAATAACGTCCATAAAAAAAATAGATAATTGAACTTTATTGATCTCACACTTGAGAAACTTATCTCTGCATTTAACCCATCCCTTTAGGGAGCAGTGGGCTGCCATTGTGCGGCAACCGGGGAACAGTATGGGGTTAAGGGTCTTGCTCAGGGACCCAGAATGCAGGGTGTGGGGATCAAACCGGGTACTTACAACCTTCTCAGAGCACAAGCCCACTGCTCTAACTACTAGGCCAACACTCCCTTTTATTAGCATAATTCAAGGGATATTACAGGGATTATGATAATATATAGTTCCTTTACCCAGTGCATTTTAATATCCTATAGTTAGGGTGGTTAAACATTTAAGGATGTTCAATATGTTCCATACAGTAAACACAATGCCACTACTAGAAGTGGTCTAGCTACTAGAAGTGATCTAGCTACTAAAGCTACTTAATATTTAACTATATTTTACTTAATATTTTTGGATATAAATTTTTTTGACTTTGCACCTTTGTGTCTTTATTCCATTTATGACTTGCTGTGTATAAAGCAATGTCAATGAGCTATGGGTTGATCAGAGGAAGCAAAATTTGTTTTTTTGTGTAAATGCAAAACTATGGTGTTGACTTATGGGAGAATAAAAAAATAAAAAAAATAATAAAAATTTCTGTGGAATCAAAAATGTTGCTATGACTTGTCTTCTTTTTAAATACAAATTTTCTTATTACTAATGGAGGGCGTAATTTTTTTGTTGTTGACAATATCATCATAGATTTGAATAAATAATGATTTAGGGAGTGTATGTTGCAACAATTATTGACATCTTGTAACTGTCAAGAAATAGACACTTTCAGATTTCTTTCAAAACTTATTACACATTTGTTTGCATTATGCAATAAAACCTCCACAGTTGCCTCTTTTTTAATAGACCCTACAATCACACTGTTGCAAAAAAAACCTACCCAACTAGTTGGGAACAAATCTGGCTTGATGATCTGGTCTGCTCAGGAAATGAACCTTCTCTAGCCATTTGTAGGCAAAATTGATTTGGGATTGAAAATTGTGGACTAAAATTGTTTAACACTAGAAAGCCCAGAGATAAAAGATTTTTTGTCAGCCTCCAGTCCCCCAACAGTACTTCACAACTCATGAATCCCTTTTCAGATGTAAATGCCCTATTAGCACTGTTGTTGGAGAACCATTCGACCCCCTTCAGTTTCGTTTTTTGCTCAAGCCTCTCTGTTGGAGGGTGTTTAACATGAGAGCAGGGGGGCAAAAAAATCATATTTGTAATTAGATATAACTAGGTCTACATCATCAGTGTCGCCAACACCGGAATGATTTTAGAGAGCGGAGGCAAAATGCAGCCAGACGATAACTTATCTGTACAATGAAAGTAGCTGCATGAGCTGGAATGCTGTTGAGAGGAAAAGCAAGAATTTTTATACAATAATGACCATCTGCCCTATTTACTAGGGGGCAAATATAACTCGAGTGTTCTCTCCCTGCAGTTGAGGAGAGACAGCATTGTGAGACTGCAGTGAAGTTGGCAATATATTCACAGATTCGGCTTTTGCGGATTAATAACTCGTCGGCGGATGCTTATTCTACAAAACAGACACCTCTCCGCAACCACAGCAAGGCAGACAGCTACAACCGTAGTTTCCTCAAAACGAGTGTCCTATCGCGCTGGGAGAATTACATTGGACCCTATGCAGAGCTCACTCCCCCGCAAATGCTTAGGGACCGTCTGCAAGTTGCAACACCATAAAAAAAAAAAAAAAAAAATATATATATATATATTAAAAAGCGTCACCAAGGAGAGGTGGATTATTATCAAATAAATTTCATGAGTATCTCATCTCATGTATCTAATACCATGTTTATTGGATTCGAAAATAATCCTTTTTTGAGGAATTTCCCAAAGCCTAAATGACAAATTGCACCTTTATTTTATTATTAGAATCAGTATAACATGAGCAATGACTACACCATAGATCAGTGGTGCGCAAACTGTGGTACGCGTACCACCAGTGGTACGCGGGCGGCCTCTAGTGGTACGCAGGGGGATGTTTTGATTCAGTGCAGTGCTGAAAAAGATGAAACTGTTCGAAATCAGAGCAAAGGCAGGTGATGTTTCAGCTTTTCCTTTTTTGGAGAGTTTTTTGTCTGACAACGACTTGCAACTTGATGTCAGCGTCAGAGATAACTTCATTGCGCAACTCGTCTCCCTCTGGCAGCAACTCAGGGAATATTTCCCTGTGACACCCAAAGAAAAGAACTGGATGAGAAACCATTTCGACATCGAACCCTCCGACATGCCCACAGACTTAACTGTCGCTGAGCCGTGCGTATTCTCCTGCCTTTCGCAACGACCTATCTATGTGAGAAAGGTTTTTCTTCACTGGCTGCCATAAAAACTAAATACAGGTCAAAGTTGGATGCTAAGCCAGACCTAAGACTGAAACTGTGCTCTATAGAGCGAGACATCAGAGGACTGTTGTCAGGTTTATTCGATGATGATTATAAAATTAATGTATGTGCATATGGAATTTTAATTAAATAAGATGCTTAACTCTGTTTACTGCAAATTGTCATTCAACTTTGGTAGAAAACTGCTGATGTTTGTGCAAGGATAATCACAGTTATCGGGACACCGCTCTATTCTGTGATTCAATCAAGAGGAGCATTTTGTCCTATATCCCGATCAATTGCCTTGTCATAAGAACACTGTTCTGTAACCCACCCCATGTGTTATGATCTGCTAATAAAAAGGCTTCTGCTGAGGAAACCCACCAGAGAGCAGATGTGGCTGAATGTGGCTCTCTCCTCCTGCAGGAGCCAAGAATCCCTATTCTGTGCGGACTCAGTTTATCTATTATGAACCTACAATTTTGAATGTAACAACTGTGCGCAGAGAGACACAGAGAGACAGGCACACCCTTCTAATTAGTTATCCAAGTTATTCATATTCAGCAACATTCTGGTACTTCAGGGTTTCATTTCAAGGTAATTCTGAAAGCTATTTTATAACAATTAACTTGGAGCATTACTAGAAAAAAACAACCTTTTAGTTCAGTTTTATTTGGCAACCAGATGAGGAGCATATGTGCCATATTCATTCAGTTACTGTGCAGATGTAACAACTTCTTTGTTTATTTTGCTCCTTATGAGACTGAGTAGGTCTATGTGAGAATTGTTGGGCAGAGTTGTATATATTTGTAAATAACTCCATAAATAACTCAGTAAATGATTCAGTAAAATAACAATTCAGCTAACAATAAATAACCACAACGAGGAATAACGTGTCTCCTGTGTGTTAAAAACTGATATAGAGGGCAAATAATGGCTATATTTTTAAACCGGTCATCATGGTGGTACTTGGACAACTGGATATTTTCTCAGGTGGTACTCCGTAACAAAAGTTTGAGCACCACTGCCATAGATCATTGTAAACTATGTATTCAAACTTCTAGGATACATAGATAGCTTCATCTGGATCATACTACAACTCTTACTTTGAGAAAATGTGCCAAAACTGTATTTTTGGAGATTTTTTCATTGTTATCATAAGCATACAGGCATGGACTAATCGTGCGTACCGGGCAGTTGCCCGGTGGGCCGACGTGCTGTTTGGGCCAGCAGACCCGACATGTATATTAATAACATGTATTATTATTATTATTATTATTATTATTATTATTATTATTATTATTATTATTATATATCGGCCTCGTTATATTTGCATGATGCATGAAGAAAAATAAAATCAGCAGAGTCGGTTCCGATCATCCGGCCCTTACCCCAGGCTACTTCAGCCCATTGGTTATCATCCCTGACAGTCTAAAGGGCTAGGCCAATCAGAAAGTAGAGAAACACCTTCACTCTCCATTGGAACTTTGTGCAGCGGTGTTCACAGTAGTAATGGATAAGAAACGCAAGGGAGGCGCAGAAAGACTGCGAAAAAAAGAAACGCGTTCTTCAAACGGACGCTGCGAAATGTATCAAACTGACTGACATGTTCCCAACAGCAGGCCCTTCATCTGCTCCAGTGTCTGATGTTTAATATAATGGTGGTGGTGGTTGCAGGCATCCCAAGTCTCCCGGAAGTTCCGGGAGTCTCCATGATATCGATAGTTGTTCACATATGCCCACGAGTCGGATAAATTATCCCGGATTTTAGACTATGGGAGGTGGTGTTTTTTAATGCCAGTGAGAGAGAGCGGCAGTACAATAATTCATGCATCATGTGCGGATTAGAACTACTGTGATTGCTGGTGAAACCTGTGCAGCGTATCTGTCCAAAGCGATGCTCTGATCAACCAGCGTTTCAGGCGACTGGTTGATCAGAGTTGATTGGATCAGTCAGAAAAATAAGCCAATAAGTTTCAGTTTACTTTTTTACAGTCACCTGATTTTACAGCAGAATATACTAAAGTGTATTCATGTCTAGTGAAGGTGAAGAATGATGGAGTGTGCATGTATGGGGCACGGTGCAGCCAGGGGCGTCAGCTGACCCAGTGCTATACAAGGGCACAATAGGGCACCAAATGAAATGCGAGCGCACAGAGCACGTGAGCAAAAAAATTTGGGGCAATTATTTCTTTTATAAAAACATGGGCACAGATAATTAATGCAAGCACGCAGGCAAATATTTTATGGCACATATTTATTATTATAAAGCATCATAAATAAATTGTGCAATAAGATTGTTATTTTCTGCATTATGAAATATCTACCTAAACCAAACTGAATCGAATTGGCCCTCTTGTGAACTTCACTGTATATTTCTAATCCACTACTGATGAAGGGACAATCAGAATCAGAATCAAGTTTATTGCCAAGTAGGTTTGCACTTACAAGGAATTTGACTTGGTGTTGTTGGTGCAGACAAAAAACAAAAACAAAACAAAATAACAAAATAAGATAGAATATATATAAATATATATA